GGAAGGACAGGAAAACGTCCTTCACTGCACTCGGGCCGCGGACACGACCACAGAACGACGGAAGGCCGAACCCTCCTCCTCCTCGCGAAAGGGAGGGGAGAGAATCGGGGACCAGGGACCATTTCGGAACCAGAATAAACCCTTCGTGTAGGGGGAAACGATCCCTAGCTGGGAACGGCCGGAAAGAGACTGCGCGGCGATGGAGGGGCGAGGGCGGAATCCGGGAGAACCGAGCCACCGTCCTTCAAGAAAATGGGAGGGCGAGCGGGGAGGCCGCGGGGCGGGGGCGGGGATCTGGGAGGCTCGGTCGGGGGCCTCCTGGGAGCCCCGCAGCGGAGCCGACGCCACAGGGTCCGCAGTCCCGGATGGGGGCGCGGCCCGGGGCGTTGGGCCTGCAGGGAGGCGCAGGAGGAGCCGGGGAGGGGCAGGGGGTGCGGCCGTCCCCTGCAGGTCGCTCCCCGAGACGCCATCTTGGACCGGTCCAGCGCCCCATAAGGGGCGATAAGACAACGAAACTCACCGCCCCGGGGGTCTCCGGCCGACCCCACTCACCTGGGGACGGACGGCGGCGGGCACCGGGCTGCAGATGCGAAGCTGCGACGTGGCAAGCTCACTCGGCGATTCCCCTCCCAGCCCCGCTCCACTCAACGATAGCGGCTCCGCGGCAGCTCCACCGGAAACGACTCGACCGCAGCCAATCAGCGCTCGGCTGCTGACGTCAATGCGCCTCGCTCTGGCCAGAGCCGTCGCCTTGGCAACCTTAAAGGCGCAGCTGCACGGTCCTGCCCCCTCCCCTTTTTTCTTCTCCTCCTCCCCTCTTCCTTCGCCCCTAAAACCAAAAAACTCAAACGCACTGTCCCTGGGAGTCGACTTAGACTCATAACAATCCTATAGGGCCTCTGCTCCATAGCATCTCTAAGGCCGTAAGTCGTACGAAAGCCGATTGCCACATCTTTCTTCTGCTGAGCGGCTGGTGGGTTGAACCGCTGACCTTTTGGTTGGCATCCCAGCGCTGCACTCGCCCCGCCACCAGGTCCCCTCCCCCGCCCCTGTTGTAGCTAAGTGCCGTCGAGTAGGTTCCGACTCAAAGCAACCCTGTATGGGGTTTGCGAGGAACGACTGGTGACTTTGAACCTCCAACCTTGTGGCTAGCAATCCAGTGCTTATCCTACAGCGCCACAAGTCTCCTGCTTTTTTGTCTTTCGTCTTACCGCATCCCTGTCCTGCAGGCCTTGTCTCCCGCCACCTCTTCTGTCCCCACGCTCGAGCACAGTTCACCTGTCACCTTCCTTACCTGTCCTTTCGTGGAGCTCTCAGGTGCCTGACCCTCCTCCTACGGCTCCCAGCTCTCCCTCCAACCTCCCGCGAGTCTCGGCCTTTTCTCCCTCCCTCCTCCCGCTGGCCCACGTGGTTTGTCCCCGCCCAGCGCGGACCCAGCTGGGGAGACTGGCCCCTGAGGGGGCGGTGCCCGGCGGATGTGCAGCAGCTGCGCGCGGTCGGGCGCGGGCGGAGACCCGGGTAAGCACGCCGGGACTGCTGCGCATCCTGTGCGGACCCGCGCCTCCATCCGGGCCAGGAAATCTGAGCCCTCGACCGGGGTACTGTCGTCAGTGCAGGCCTTGTCGTCCCAATGGGCACTGGACATAGATAGCAAAGGACTTTGTCACGGGCCTAGAGGAAGCCCGAGACCTTCTAGAACCCCTATCACCATGAGACCCCACATGGTAAGAACGGAGAGCAAGGATGATTGTCCCAAACACTCGCTGAGCACACAAGAAATCCAGACTGCCCGCAATAATCATGCCAATAAGATTTTTTTTTTTTTTTTTTCAATTTAAAGACTTCTTAGCCCTTAAGTCATTTCTTTTCCATCAGAAGACAGGAGACAGTTTTAGACATAAAATGTTGATAACTAAGACCCTTCAAGGACATATATCCAAGTGTCTGGAGATTGGCTTTTGTACCTACATCCTATACAACTCTTGGGCTGTACGTGTAAAATGCATCAAGGATCTAACAATACTAAAAAAAGAAGAAGGTAAAAAATTTCAATGATTTTTATACTGATGGCAGGCTGAAAGGTTGAACGGTTTTGGATCTATTAGGATGAATATTAGAATTAACTCATCTTTCTCTTTTACTTTTTTGATGTAGCTATTAGAACATTTTGAAAGGAACCCTGGTAGCGCAGTAGTCACGTGCTCAGCTGATAACCAAAGGACAGCATTTTGAACCCACCACACAGCCACATGGAAGGGAGAATGATGTGGCCTTCTGCTTCTGTACAAATTTCCAGCCTTGGAAATCCAATAGGGCGGTTCTACACTGCCACACAGAGTTGCGAGGAGTGGAATCAATGCA